AATAAATAATAATAATAATAAAAATAATAATAATAATAATAATCATTAGCTCACACCACAAAACCAAATATGACGTACCAGAAATAAATATTTTTGCAGTGAAAAAATGTGTCCTCTAAGGGAAAAAAAAGAATTAAAGGTGGAAGATGAAAAAGTAATCTTGGAACGTATGTAGGAGAAACCCTGGCAAGAAATTCAGAGCAAGCAGAAAGTCATTACTTAAACAGGCTATCGGAACTACACAAATAATTACAAAGAAAGGTCTAATATTTAGTTTCAACGTGTTCACAAACAATCCCTTTCCATTATTCGGCAAACTGCCCTCTGGAGGAGCCACAAAACTAGACAGAAATACATTAATTATTAGACCTTTGGATATTGCTGTGGCCGGCAGAAGCATTATTGAGCAAAGTTCATCTAAAAATAGGGAGGGCAAGTGTGTTAGAGATCCATGCAAAGGATCAGGAAAGCAGAGTCCAAAAACGCATTGATGAACTGAGGATTTTCTTCTTCTTTTAGAGACAAAATCCTTCCAAGTTTGAAAAATTGACCTCTGGTTGGCAGCAGAATAATCCAGGTGTTCTCTCTGGGGACAGAGGCTTTGCATTATCTGCCTTGTTCCTAGCCAGGCTATACATGTATGCACCACACTGAATGCTCTCTGCATCACAATAGTTTTACACACACAGTTGTAATACCCTGAGGCTGGGTATAAATAAATTGACAGTCTTCTTCCTCGCTAATTCCATCAGCGAGATCTCGGGCAGCATACTAATAGGAGCCGTCCTTAGCATGCTGGAGAGCAAACATGGAAGCAAACTTGAGCAGAGTCCTCTGGATGTCTGCAGTCTTTCAGTTTGCCCAGCCAGGCCTCCCTGCTATCATGCCTTCACTGCAAATGTACCCTCCTATCCATTGCCTTCGTCTAGAGCAGTGGTTCCTAATGGGGGGGGGGTCCTTGGACACCAGGGGTTCCACATAACACACCCAGGGGATCTGCGTCACCTTTCACATAATGAAAACTACTATATAGTCGTACCTCATGTTACTTTTGCTTCAGGTTGAGCGTTTTCAGGTTGCGTCCTGTGGCAACTCAGAAGTACTGGAAAGGGTTACTTCTGGGTTTCGCCGTTTGCGCATGCACAGATGCACAAAAATGTTGTCACGCGCATGCGCAGAAGCGGCGAATCGTGACCCGCGCACTCGCAGATGAGGGTTGCATTCTGCTCATGTTGCAAATGGGCCTCCGGAATGGATCCCATTCACAACCAGAGATACCACTGTAGAGATATCATCTTTTTCCCCCTCAAAATTAGGGGTTATAAGAAAAAACAACCCTGCTCCTTTCCCCTTATGCAGTGGTGTCCAAACTTTTTTCAAAGAGGGCAAGATTTGATGAAGTGAAGGGCCATGGGGACCGACCAAGAGCCCGTATAGAGTCCTTAAGTGGGTTCCCTATTGGTAGGAGAAAATACAGTAACAGACACTAACGAGAGTATATTGAGGAGCAAAGCAGCTAGTAAGCCTGATCTTTATTAACTGTTGCAACAGGGTCCCCACTCACCATATGCAGGAGGGAGGAGGGAACCCAGAACAATAGTGTGCAAGCCCTTATATAGAAGTTGCCCACCCTGTAGCCCAAGGCCCCCCCTTTGAAAAATCACGCATACATCACAGAAGGAGGCGGTCTACAGCAGAAATACATCACAGGAGGCAGTCTAAAGTATAAATCCTGTTTGCCAGGATACCTGATAATGGTCACTTGATTGCTTTACCTGGGCAGCCTGGCCATTCTTTTGTGATGGTTAATAGTTTAGTTCCTGAATCCAGGTCACAGGCTCACCCTAGTCATACACAAATATGCCCTTAAGACAGGATTTGCAAGCAAAATGACAATGGGAAGGCTTTCCCCATTTCCCTCTCTTACTGCAGAGGAATACTTGAGTTCACTGAGAGAGTTAAAATGGCTTCAGGATTGCTCTCCTGTACTATTTCAGACACGCGGTTTATATACTTATGTATGTTTTTGCCTTGTACATTTATGAACATTTAATTTATCCAGTGGTGCCTCGCAAGATGAATGCCTTGCAAGACGGAAAACTCGCAAGACGAAAGGGTTTTTGGTTTTTTGAGTTGCTTCGCAAGACGATTTTCCCTATGGGCTTGCTTCGCAAGACGGAAACATCTTGCAAGTTTGTTTCCTTTTTCTTAAAACCGTTAATACAGTTGCGACTTGACTTCGAGGAGCAACTCATAGCACGCGGTGTGGTAGCCTTTTTTGAGGTTTTTAAAGACTTTGGTGATTTTTGAAGCTTTTCCAAAACTTTTCCGAAACCGTGCTTCGCAAGACGAAAAAAATCGCAAGGCGAAAAAACTCGCGGAACGAATTAATTTCATCTTGCGAGGCACCACTGTATTTGAAACCTTAGAATTCTTATAACAATGGCTTGGCTTTTGAAAACTAGGGGTCCAAGGAGTTAGCTAATTGGGAACCACTGATCTAGAGGTCTCCTTGAGGATCATGTCCAAATCCTTAGGATCTGGATGGTCCTCCTGATGGGACACGTTTCTGTTTGAGCCACCATCTCTCCCTCAGAACTAGGACTTGCTTGGTCTTGACATCAGAGGCCATACTCACCCAGCCTTCACCTCCTCCAAGGATTCTGGCTCCTTCGTCCAGGTTGAGCCTGATCCAGGACTTGGTGTAATGCTGGGGTCTCCATGCCTTCGTTTGATAGGGAATCCCCTGACTGAGAAGTGGCAGTTGTTTTGCTTCAAAGCCCTGGGCACAAAGCAATCTGGCTGCACTCCATGGCCCTGTGACAAGGGGGAGGCAAACGGAACAGGCAGCCTGGCTACCGAATGTCTCTCTGCAACATGCGCACACACCTTTCCTCTGCCCCAGCCAGCAATCACAATGCACATTTTTTTGCTAGTTAATAATAGCCCCTAATCTGAGTCACAAGCATAGAAAGGAAAGACAGCCATGCTGGAACGCAGCTCACACCTTGGGAAGCAGCTCGTTGCTGTTACTAAGGAAACCTTCTTTGGTAGTAATGGCAATGGGAGCCCGTGTCAATGAGCTTTGGCAGGGAGGGGTTGGTGCGGCAGGGTCAGGCTGGCTTGAGAGCAAAGGAGCTGGGCAGCGCGGCAATTGAGCCTGCCCTCTGTGCGAGAGCACCGATGTATGCATTTAGTAAGGGTCAAGGAGGGCCAAAGCAGAGGGGAGTTCACAGGCACTTTCTCACTTCCCTGCATGCACCAGGGTCCAATTCCCACCACCCCAGGATAGAGAGCCTCCCATTGGAAATAATTGAGAATGGCTTTGTGTCCCGCAGGGAGCAAATGAGGACCCTGTGACTATTTCATTTCATCCTCGGCGCTTTTTCAGCAGTCAGCATTCAGCAGGATGGGGAGACATAAAAGGTTTTGCAGTTGTCCGGGCTGGAGTTAGCATTGCTTTGCTTGCTGAAGCTGAGTTGTGGCGGTTTGAAGGAGCTGGATACAGTTTCACATGCTGTTTTTTTGAAATAAAAAATAATAAAAAATTATTTTTTTTAATGGAAAGGAGGTGGGTGGATTCGGCGTGGGCTGAGGAACTTTCCTTACAATATGATTGGAATTAAAACTAGCCTGCATTCACACTCCCCTTTACTGTGTACTTGCAGAGTTTCCAGTGCTGGGATTTTCATCCAAAAATGCACATGTAACCTTGTTGTTGTTGTTGTTGTTGTTGTTGTTTAGTCGTTTAGTCGTGTCCGACTCTTCGTGACCCCATGGACCAGAGCACGCCAGGCACCTCTGTCCTCCACTACCTCCCGCAGTTTGACTTCATTATAAAATATTAGTGTTCAATGTGTTGTTTCTCAAACCGGCTTCACACAGATTGGAGTCCTTAAGCCTTTCCCAGTATGATGTGATATTAAGCCTTCTCACTGCATTGCAGGGGATTGGATTGGATGACCTTTGGCTTCCCTTCCAACCCTACAGTTGTGATTCTTGGGTGTGTTTCTTGTCATTGGCTTCCTGTTGTTTGCTTGTTCTTCAACAGATGATCCTTTGCTTATGTTCCCTTTACCCATCTTCCTTTTTATTTCTGCCCCTGTTAATGATGACAGTCACATCCACACCGTTTATGGAAAGCATATTTATAACACTTTAACAGCCATGGCTTTCCTCAAAGAATCCTGAGAACTGTAGGTTACTCCCCATGGAACTACAATTCCCAGTACTCTTAACCAACTACAGTTCCCCAGGATTCTTTGGGGGAAGTCATGTGCTTTAAATCGTGTGTATGTGACCTGAGAGTGTTTGCCTTCTTGGTTCCCCCAAGGAGGATGCAACTCTTTCCCACAAAAAAGAAGGAATCTGAATGGTTTACTGGTGCAGTCAAAGGAATGGTACAGCTCAAATGGGCAGCTTTCATGAAGGCTCAGCATTACTATCTATCTGCCAATGGACCATCCTATTGGCCCTACATTGGTTGGGATTGTCATTTGCTTCTGCCCTCTTCCTCAGCAGGAACATGTAGCAAAATGGTGATCTCACTGTTGGGAGTAAAGCAGCAATGCTTGCAATTAGTTACACGAACCAGTAGGGGCGATTGTCTTTCTGCCTATCTGTTCTTCCTCCTCACCTGTGCCTTCTCTTTCACCTGTCCTGTTCCTTCCTTCTGCTTGTTCATAAAGTTGGTTACTTCCTTTCCAGTTTTTATGCCTTTCTTGCTTCTTCTCCAAGTTAGTCCTTTCAAGCCACTCAGTATGAGTTAGCATGTACTAGTGCCTCTATTTCAGCCTCTGGTAAAACCTGAACCCAGAATTTGCTTTGTTTTCTGTGACTAATAAACCTTAAATTGTCTTTATCTCTTTCATGCAGTAATCTTGTCAGCCTGTTTCTTTCTGTACCCCACTGCAATATATTTGCCAAACTCCAACACTCACTCAGTCCTAATTTGGTGACTTTGTTTGGAGCTCTGATGGTTTCCATTTATGTGTCCCCAGGGTCTACAAATAGGGACTTGGGAACTGGAGGAGATGGGAGCCAAGTTTTGCCTTGGGCTCCTCATCCTGCAGCTGAAATCCCTGCCTTGCAGCAAGAAGGTGATGGCACAAGCAACAGCTCTGCTGGACGTGGAAGAGGAAATCACAGACCTCCGAGCCCAAAGGTCAGAATAGAAGCACAATTTGCACCTGATTTTGTTCCCAACATCTGTATCTAGCCTCAATGGAAGCACTAGGGTGGCTACCCAAACAACATACACATTTGTGTAAATTTTCATAACCAGCTGCACAGATATAAGATGGGAGATACCTGGCTTGTCAGTAGTACATGTGAACGGCATCTAGGTGTTAGCTGCTAACTGTTGTTGGGCAACTTCAAGGCCCAAGGCTCTTGTCTTATGATTTTCTAAACTGGACATGGATCAGAGAGCCCTCCAAATAGAGGATTCTTTCAAATAGAGGACTATCCACTGTAAAATAGGACACATGGCCACCTAATTCAGATTAGTGACTGTTCTTGATCCTCAAGGCATCAGGCAATGGGATTTTTTTTATTGTGTGGTGTGATACTTATCTGATGCTATGTTGCCAGCCAGATAGTAAGTTTGCTAGTAAATTCAATATTGTGATTTGAGGCATGGAAAGGAACCAGCAAAATAAATTCTTTTAAGTGCATGGGCTGATTCTTCCCCTCCCCCAGGTGGTTTTTTCGTATTTAAAGTCTTAATGCTACCTGAAAAGTAGAGGCTTTTACTATTGCCTAATTCTCTCTGTGTTTCCCAAGTCTGTTTCTGGGAGCTGTAATGGAGGTTTGCTGGAGATGGGGATAGAGATGGATGATTCCCAGGTTGTACGTCCAAGTTGGGGCAATAATATTTCCTTAAAAGTGTGTGCAACAACAAGGCTACAAAGAGAATGATTGTCTCATGCAACTGGCCTTACAGAGGTTGTGGACCCAAGTGATTTGGCCAGATCCAAAATATGCATACTTACTGGACACATGTCAAATGCCAACCTAACACATTTCCAAGAACAGCATAGAAAGAAAGCACAATTTGCTAAGAGTTACAGCTCACATAATGGGTCTCCCATTGAACTGATCCTGCCTTCCATTTCCCCCAGAAAGCAATGGTATCCCCCCTCTCATTGTTGCAGAAATACCCCATAATTTATGGTGGGTTCCCATCCTCTCCCTTCAGGGATGCTTTAACAGCCATTAGCACCACCTGTTCGTGTTGCTGGAGACCATATTTACAGTCTTGTTCATCATTTTTAATGTTTATGGAAGGAGAGAGAGAGAGAGAGAGAGAGAGAGAGAGAAGGGGGCAAATAGCCTTAAAAATAGAGACATTTCTTTAGATTAGTCATGCTCGCTTGTACATGTGAGCGTATAAATGAAGCAATTACTGTGTGTTCCAAACACCAGCCGTGCCACGGACAGCCGCCTGACAAGCAATCCGCGTGTCATTAAAGGGAGCTATTCAAGCCTGGCCAGACGGATGGATTCCAGGCATAAATCAAACCTGACTTCAGAGCAGGAGAGCTGCGGAAGCCTTTTGAGTTAAAATAACTTGGAGATAGGGAAGGAACATTCCAAACACCTGGCAGAGCCAAGAATTTTCTTTAAAAGGCAGATAGTTGTTGCAGGAAGGCAGGTGGTGGTGGTGTTGAGGGTCAAGTCGGCTCAGAGGCAGAAGGGCACCAGCAAAAATTGAGGGCAGAACGAAGTCCATCAGCATCACTGGCTTTCGTCTTGACCTGGAAGCAAAGCACGCTGTTTGTTCTCTTCTTCTCCTTTCTGGTGATTTGACTTTATTTCATCCCTCTCTTGCATCCCAGCCTTGTGGGGTGGAGAGTGAGAGATCCTGAGAACAAGATGTGCTGAAATAACCGTGAGAAAATTCATTTGAGTGCAGGTTCTTTCGACCAGATGGGAAATGGTGGTGGTGCTCCAAAAAGTGACATTGCGCAGCCGTGTTGCCATATCATACATTACACTGCACGAATCAGCAGCTCAGTTTCTTAGACTAAGCCAGCGTCTATGATAGGGGTATCCTGAGGCATCCAGTAGCCAAAGCAGCATGGAGGGTGAGGTTGCTGGGGCGAGCAGGATTTATTGGCAGTCCCCTTCGGTGGAAGTGAAGCCTTGGTCCAAAGCTCTGTATCTCTTTCCTAATGTGACCTGTTGCTTTTCTTGATATGCACCAAACCTGATGTCTTCATGACATCAGGGGAAGACTTTTAATTAATTGCCAGGTTTTTTGACATGTCATCTAGCTCATTAGTCTTCCGCAGTTTCAGATACAGGATTCAACTTTAACCCAAACATGCAGTTGAAGATCATAGACTCATAGAATAGTAGAGTTGGAAAGGGACCATGAGGGTCATCTAGTCCAACCTTCAGCAATGCAGGAGTCCCTGGGAGATGGCCATCCAATCTCTCTTTAAAAACCTCCAATGAAGGAGAGCAGGACCATCTTTACCTGGGGGTGCAAGGGGTGTGGGGCATCCCAGCGCCAAATTCTGGGGGGTGCCAAATTCTGGGGGGCGCCAAATGTATACCTACTGTATACCGGTCCCTCTCAATCGGCGGCAATGAAAAGCAATGGAGCAAAAGTCCCCACCAACCTCCTCCATCGCTCTGTTACTCTGCAGCGTCAAATACTTCCAAAGAGCCAGGAAACAAAAGCAGTTATTTCTGCTGTGTCGTGTCGTTGTTACAGGTGAGTGATCTCCCCCCCCCCCACAAAAAAGCTCAACAACTTGGGGCAGCTCAACTAAATTTGGGGGTGCTGGGTGGATTTTCGCTCCCTGGCGGCTGAAGGAGAGTCCACCAAACCAATTTCTTGGCTTATTTTAACCATGCATTTGTCTGGAGGTGCTGCTGTTCTTGTGACCCACCTTAGCTCAGGATACAAGTCAGTAGCGGATCCCAACCCACCAGCTGAAGATCAGTCATCATTCCAGCGGGCTTAAGTTGATCCTTTGGTGTGTGTGTGTTGCTGTTTCTACTGCCAATATCTGTTTTTATTATTCTGCTGCTTTCAGAATTGTGACTATGTTTTGTAATGGTTCTATCCTATTATACACTCTGCAAAATGATGGGTGGCTTATAAAGCCGTAAAGGAACAGCGAAAGTATGTGGTGGGTACATGGTTGTGAGTTGTATCTCTTCTCTAAGTTTTCAGAAGCAATGCAAGACTCACGTTTTGGGGCTGGTTGAAACGTAGAGAGCTGTGTTTTATGGCTGTGTTTGGTATTGTGATCCTTTGCGACAGCATTTAATTGAATTGCTGTTAACTTAATGACAGCTTCCTTGGTGGCTTTAAACTGTGTTATGGCTTTAAAATCATTGTAAGCCTACCGCTTTAGACTCAGAATAAATATGAGCAAAGTTTGCATACGGATATCCATAAAGAAAATTGATCACTACATTGATCGCTACAAAAGGATCCTGAAAGAACACACCACCAAATATTACCCTATGTATCCGCCTTATCCTAGTCTACCTGGTCTGCTTAACACAGTATAATTTAGTCTTCACTGATTGCAATTCTTGGAGGTCCCAGGTAGATTGAGGACTTTCCCTGCTACCTGAGATCCCTTAAGACAGGGGTGGGCAACATCCAGCCTAATGGTAGCATGAAACCCTTGGCACAATTTAATTCAGCCCTCAGCCTGTTCTCATGTGTGTGGCAAGGAAAAAAAGGGGGGATGGAAGATCATAGAATAAAGTGAGTTTGGGGCAGGGAAGGGTGCCCATTCACTTTTGGCCATGCAGCCCCCGACAGATTATCTCCAAAAGATCATGGCACTTGACAGGTGAAAAAGAGTTCCCACTCTTGCATGAAGAGAGTTTCAGGATCAAGCCTGCTACCTTCTGCATGCCAAGGTAATGCAGTTGACCTCTAATCCTTGACCTCTCCCTGAATGTGAAATGAGAGGTTCATTTAGACTACAACTCTGCACAACCTGTGGTCCAACAAGACAAACACGACCTCTGAGGCAAAGGTCTTGTCCATAGCCTGTTACCTAGAGAAGACCAAGAGAGTCATATAAATTAACTAGAGATGCCAGATATTGAACCCGGGACCTTCTGTATGCAAAGCATACACTCTGCCGCCGATCAATTGTCTCTTCATCTTTACTGATCCCCCTTCTCTTACAGATCTCTATTCTTTGTCTCCTATACAAGTTTCCCTTTGCTCCAGCACCTGATATAGCTGGCAGTGTCACTCTCCAGGTGAGCATTGTCTTGCGACAGCAACTGATTCTACCTGTCAGGTCTTATCTGTATAGATGCCCTTTAATGCACCTTTCTCAACTGTTTCAGCTCCACGTCTTTTCCAGAATGGAACTGACAGCACACCTTCCTCCTTTCTGAACTCACCTGATCAGAGACATTTGCAAAGGGCATTGCCAGTGTGGAACATCTTGGTTGGAAAGTTAGGCTTTGTGTTATTTGTCATGTTGGCTCAGAAATGGTACAATATGACCACTTCTGTAGCTGACATTAAGTGATCTTTTAGAACAAAAGTGGAGCTGGAAGCATTTCCCTTTGGTAGCATGATGAGAGCAGTAGTACTGTTGCCAACATATCTCCTAGCTTCCATGTGAGAATGGAAATACACCCATCAGCAAAAATTAGCAATTATCTATAATTTTGCGATGCTGTTCTCCAACAACCATTGTTGACAAAAATACATTTATTAGTGGAAAGTCTGCATAAAAAATAATAGTGAAAATAACATGAAGCAATGTGTTATAAAGCAGTTAATTGCTTGCCAAAATGTATGTATTAGTCAAAACTACATACAAAATTGTGTTCATTAGGAGAAATTTGCACCCAGATGCTCGTGAATTTTTTAAAAGAATTTTGTTAATTTCTCCTAATATTGAATTCAGTGGAACTTACTTCTGAGTAGACACCGTTAGAATTGCAGCCTTCATCCCTCTAACAATGAACAACTTTAATGAAGTCAACAAACAAAGCTTTAGGAAAAAAGTAAAGCAATGAAGCTCCTGTTTGGACCGCGACAATTATTTGTCAATGGATATGCAAGGCAATTTATGTATAATGTGTGCATGTTAAAAAATAATAATACAAAACATTCATAGCAAGAATCAAAGGCCACCCAATTGTTCCCTTTTTGTGCCATATATC